GAAAGAGGAGCCAAATACTTTAAACACCTAGAAAGCATCTTGAWATACCTGCTGTTCCATGCTACACATGAAAAATCCATTCAAGCACAGCCTGCCCTTGCCCATCCATTGGGTGCWATTGCTGGTCACAGCCAGGTGACCAAGCCACCCAGGACTGAATTAATGACATCTCTGCAAACCTGGCAGCCCCTCCAGCTGGCCCTGTAGGTATGAACAGCACCAACTGGCTRCACCCTGGCTGCACCTGCCTATTTCAGCCCTATGCAATTTCCTTCCTGATCTCTGAACCATGCATGGAGCAGGCAACAAAGCAAATAAAACCTCACTAGGAAGAAAAARGACTGACCCTTAGGAAAAGTATTCTTGGCCAATGCAGACAACAATGCTTTGAAGTGAAGCCTGTGCAGAGAAAGGCTGGAGAAAGTCCCCAGCAATGGAAAATTTCTTGTGATGTGTGTGAGTACTGTCCTTCAAACATGAGCCATGCACTCACTGCAGGATTACACCACAACAGCAGACTGTATGGAAGTCAGTCCCTGTAGAAGATGAGCTCTAGAAGTCTGCTTGGTCCATTAGCTGATCGTGAATAAAACCACATGAAGCAAAGTTTTAAGACATTACCAAAGAAATAAGCAAAAACCAACAGGCTAAGGAATAGATGAAATCTTAGCACAGATGATTTGGGGACACAAATGCAAGATTTTTTTTCAACATCTACCTGCCTTTGAAACTCASTGGAGAAATGAAAATTAATGTGTCTGGGAAAGCTCAATTTTAGGTAGGCCATCAGATGAAGATTTAGTAAAGTTATGAGGCAAAAGAACTGGAAATTTTGATCTGGACTAGAAGTCTTATGTCACCTTGCAGAATGGGTGAGATCCATGCAAAAATACTTCAAATACTGGAAGAACTGTAGATCTCTGTCCCCAAAGCTTCCTTTCTTGGAATTTCACCAGAAGAAACCAGACAGTGCATCAGAACGAAGAGCCAGCTGCAATTTTGCTAAAAATAAAGCAAAGCAAACACCAAAAAGCAGCATGTGTAAAAAAAGAGATAGCCTAGTTTAAAAAGGAAAGGCTAAACTGAACTCTAAAGTACCGAAACAAATGAGGATGTCAGTATCATACAAATTTAATTTGTGTTGGGGCAGAATTATTAACCTTAGCCTGTAAGAACTTGCTGTAAAGTAAAAGGATGAAACAGTAAAAGCTGAATCCCCGTGTCACTTTACAGGCACAACACTGAGACATTGGAAAGTAAGGTGACAAAGCAGGGATCTAAATATCCATGTTTTCTTTATAACAAAGTACTTAAAAACTTTCTATTCAACCAACTCCCTTTTTTTTCTAATGCACATGCTTCTGTTCATCAGCCCTAATCTGCGCAGCTCCATCTGCTTGCGGAATCATGTCAAACTGAATTACTAAAATGACTCCATTTACCAATAGTCTTCTGAGATAAGACACAACAGACCATGGGTCTGAGCAACACAGAACTAGGCAAGACAGGAGCCCTCCCTTCATCTTCACTTCAAAGCCAAAAGGAACACTTCAGGTAAGACAAGTTCATTTGAATTCATTCATKTATCTGTGGTGAGGGGGTGGGAACTTCTTAAGCTGACGTTGCCAACAAAGAAAACACGTAGGTAGGCCTAGAGGCAAAGGTRGGGATWRAATTTAAATCTCTTTCTACTTCAATATCTAGATCCAAGGATCATTATTTCCTTGAGTATTACATATGTGACTTAGCCTTGGTGCAATGATTTCCCAGTGACCTTTTCCCAGCTCATTTTTGTCYTGCTTCTTTGACATCTTGGACCAGATAAAGGTGTTGAAGCCTTTTTGGAGCAAGCTTGCGTGGTGACAGCAAAGAATAAGAACTAATTCAGACAGGTGAGAACACCTTCAAACTTGCTCTAGAAGAGGCAGGAAGAGCAAATGCTGAGCCTTCAAGAAGCTGCCAGGGGTCATGTTCTTTCATCAGTCCTGCAAATACASCCTACACCAAAACCAAGCAGGAAGGCAGCAGACAGCTTGCATGCTTGTAATGGAACAGCAAGAACAGGGCTACTCTCTGCTAGAGAAGGTTAGCCAGAAACTTAGGCTGACCACAGCTTTGTCAGTCACTCACAGACTGTGGTACAGTCCCAATCCTCTTGGACTTGTAGTAGACCCAGATCTACTACACTGGTAGCTGTGTTTGCCTGCACTTGGGTAATTTAACATGCTGGTTCAGCAGTTAGTCAAGACTCCAGATCTGTGATTCATACAATTTTTGGCCTCTTAAATGAATCACAAAAGTACTGGTGCTCATTCTGAGGAAAACAAATAGAGCATCATTAAAAAACACCCCGTCATCTCCTTCGGGTGCAGAATAGAGCAATAAYGATGGAAAGAACCTGAATACAGCAGTTATAGAGTCGAGATGGATGATCTCTTTTGATCAAAAAGAGAAGCTTAGACTTCCATTTTCAACCTCTCTAATTTCTCCAGAGTACTCAGCACTGTTGCCATGTCATAATTTCATGTTAAATCGGTGGCTGGGACTCAAAGCCACAGACTTGCTGTTACGGTAGAGGGGGTACACCCTGTGAATCACAGTGGAAAGCCTCCGTTTCTAGATGCCTCAAATGCAGCTCCTCACAGCTGCTCTCAAAAGCTGCATTTGGCCTTGACGTTTGCTGGTCAGATGCCATGGATCCAAGTACACGGCTGACGAGGGGCAGTTCTTGCTCTTCCTCACTGTATGGACATCAGAGTGCCCCGTGTTACATTCGGTCACATGTGGCAGACAGCTAACTGAAGCTGAAACACAGATCTACTGAGCTCACTTCCCTAAACTTACTGGCGTAATTAAAAAGAGACCTGCAGACAAGGGCAATTTCTCGGTACAAAGTGTATCTGCAGTATCAGCCACTTCAGTCCCCAGTTTCACAGCGATCCTCAAGCTCTTCCCTAAATGATCAGGTTCATACAAAGYTCCCATATATGTGTTATTTTTTTCCAGCATGCTTTTCCCCTTCTTTCCAATGCAGACACCAGATGATGACTTTATTTCACATATTTATTTTTCACTTTGACTTGAACTATAGAAATCCCACATACCTGGGTACAAAGCTGCTTGTGCTTATGCAACAGGTAAAGAACACAACATCATGCAGTTTCTTCTAGAGTAAACAACCAACCAAACAACAATACCACCACCACAAAAACTGTCAAACATATCCTCATTGTCTGCTGATTTCCTGTGCTGCTTGTCTTTCAGGAAGTGCTGGTTTATTTCCAAAGTTTGAGTTATTTAAAGATTGACAGCAATTCTGAAATGAAGATCCTCCAGTCATCGGGTATAATAGGATTTGCTGAATTAGAGCTACAGCATCCAGGAGATGGACCCTTCTTAGAGTCTGGAACCGAAGAACCAAAAGAAATTCTCTCCTCTTTATCCAGATCTCTTTATCTCCTGCTACATTGCAAAACATATTTTCCCCATTGCTTGCTTTAAGGTAAATACARGGCAATGTTTGTGTACTTTTGTACATAAACAAATGACAAACAGAGAGCTGCTGCACATGCTTCCCTTCTGGGACTGAGAGAAACAAACAAGCAGCAGATGACAGTTGTGTTGCTGGCAGCACTGCCACCAGGATGCTTAGAGTCYGTTGAACCAAGTAGTTTATAAAAAWMCACTTAGGACAYGATGGAARGCATGAAAGAATATATTTGTGAACATCCCTTTGAATTGAGAAGTGTGACAGCAGCAGCAGCAGTACCAGAGAAGGAAATGAGAATACACAGGGGACCTAGGAATATGAAACAGATCTTCCTTCTGCAAAAACATTTACAGTAAAGACTTGAGTTGCTCTTCATATACTGTAAAAGACAGTTCCTCTCAGGAGGCCCAAGTCCATGGTTACTTCTGTMGGCATCTCTGCCCCAATTCTAGGYCATTTCCCCATCATGTAATTCTTCACTGAATGGTCCACACCAGAACCTTCTCCAGCTGTGTTACGATGACTAGAGARACTCTTCTGCTGCAGACAGTTTGTAAAGCTGGCTTCATTAAGTGGTTGTTGCACTTCCACTGACACCCAGKGGAAGGTAGGTGGGGACTTTCTGTRTGATCTCAGAAGATCTTCCTTATGTCCCTGTCTCACATAGCACCACAGATAAGAATCATTAAGGCTGGAAAAGACCTCCAAGAGTCCAGCCATTAAACCAGCACTGCCACATCCACCACTAAAACGATTCTCTAAGCACCATATATACTCGGTTTTTGAATACTCCACCACTTCCCTGAGCAATCTGTTCCAATGTTTGAACACYCTTTCAGTGAAGAAATATTTCCTGATGTCCAATCTAAACCTCACCTGCTGCAGTTTGATGCTGTTTCCTCTCGTCCTATCACTTGTTACCTGGCAGAAGAGACCGATCCGCACCTGTCTGTAASTCCTGCTGCGACCGCAGAAAGCTCAGAGGAGCACTCAGACGCGCCTTCCCTCTGTGCTAAAGCCWTAACAACATTTGGCATTGGTGGGCTTGGGACCACCGAGCATCTCGGCGCTGGATTGCCGCTTGCAGCAGCGGTCAGAGCTGCACTCACGGCCGCCTGCGGGCACGGGCGCCACCCCTGCCTACCTGAGCCCGGAGGGGACGTCCCGCCGCGGGTCCCTCGGGGCAGGGGGTGGCTGAAGGGGGGTGGTCCGTGCCTCCCATCCCGGCGCATGCCGCCAGCTCCGGGAGGGTGCGCCGGGGATGCTCCTGGCGCCCACCTAAGAGGCTTCCCGGAGGGTCCCGCGGGCGGCAGAGGGAGCGGGGCGGGCTCCAGGCAGAGCTCCGCGAAAGGGGCTCGGGCAGGAGCAGGAGCAGGATGGAGCGGGTCGGGTGCGCTGGAGGAGCGGCCCGGCAGCGCTCCCTCCTTCACTCCATCCTTCCCTCCCTTCCCTCCTCCGCGGGGCTGGAGCCTCCCCTGGGCAGCGCCCCCAGCTCCTCCCCGCTCGGTAACGCCGGTCCGAGCCCCTCCTCCCGTTTCCGCTGGCAGGAGCTGGGGCCGTGTCCTGCCGTACCTCCGCCGCTCCCCCAGCACTCGGCCCCATCCGGCCCGGCCCAGGGACCGCGGGTGAGCCCCGGCGCCGCGGGGGGCGAGGGGCGGCGGGGACCTGCGGGCAATTCCCGCTGCTGGGAGAGGGGGGATGGCAGGAGCGGGGCGGCCCGGGGCGGGAGAGCCGGGGGCTGCCAGGCGCGGGGGTCGCGGGATGCCGGCCCGGCGGCTGGAGATGCTGGGGAGCGGCGGCTCCCGGCGGGATGGGGGTGCGGGAGGGGAGCGGGCGGTTCGTAGGGGTGAGGAATGTTTGCTGGAAACAATAACCCCCCACCCCCTCCGGTGCCTGTGTGATTTTTGCGGAAACAGGAAAGTTAGTTCAGAGGGATGAGAGAGACGAGCCCAGCGGCTCTGCGTGTGCGGTCCTGCTCTCTCCCGGCCGGGGAGCCCGCGGTGCCATCCCGCACGGGAGCGGAGGGCTTCGCCTGGGGACGGGTTTGTCCCCGCCAGCGGGGAGAACACCCCTGGGACAGCGCTGCTGGCAGGCGGGGCTGCCTTTGCCGTGGCCTTGAGGCTGTGGCGGCTGTGAGGGGCTGTGGGTGGGGGGCGTGCATGGGGGGATGCTCCGCTCCGGCCGGGATGGGGAGCGAGCCCGCCCTGGGCTGACAGCTCYGCTCCGCAGCCGCCCGCGGAGGTGGTGCCAGCGGTTCCTGCCTTCCCCCTGCTTATGTAAAACTTGACTCCGGCTCAGCCTTTTCCTGTTGAAGCTTTTGGAAACTTTTCTTGCTGAATCTTGGATATCCGCCTGTCACCGAGCTCGTGATGGGAGGTGGGAGCTCCGTGAGGCAGGCCTTCAGCTCCAGAGATTTTTGATGGGAAGAGGGGAGAGATTGAAGGGATGCTGTGTTAAGGAAAAAAAGTAGGCTACGAGAGTGAAATAAGCTGCATGTCTCTACTTAATCCTTTTATCAACTCTTTTGTTCCGTGCTTTTACTTTGTGTAGTTTTGTGGTTTGAACCGCAAGAATGGGGGCACCTGATTTTCCTACCTGACTGCACCGAACTTATTTAAAGATTTGGTCATAAGTCACCTGGGATATGTTTGGGAAAAAGTTAAATATTGTCTAGAACAGCTGTGAGAGTCAAATCACTCTGTTTGTTTGGGCTGTTGGCCCACTTTTAGATGGACCTAACGTACCCTGTGGAAGCCAAAACTTGAAACGTTACTGTAGGAAAGTTGTTAGTAACAGGTGCCACAAATTGTTTTAATGGCTGGTTTGTTAAGCTGGTAGCAGAGTCCTTTGTAGCCAGGGTGTGTAATTGCAAAGGATAGCAGCCACTGAAGTGTGCATTCATATGAGCTGTGTTGGCATGGAATGCAGGGCCAAAGTTACTCCTCAATAGCTCTTAGAATGTCAAAAGAGAAATTATCGATGTGATCTTGAGAACACCAAGGAAAAACAATCAGTCCTCACAGTTTTATGTTCTTTGCTCCCATTTTGCATTTTTCCTGAGCTCCAAGTATGGAAACTGATGGAGCTAATATAGCTTCTGCCTCCAGATCTTTTCCTTTCATATTTTTAGAACAGTGATGATCAAATTGCAAATCCTACAGACGAGACCTTTTCCTAATGGGGCTGTAAGTCTTATGGCAAACTTGGTTTTGGGTACCTACACTTGCTCTAAACCTAATTCTCCTCAATAAAGCTGCATAAGAAGACTTTGGGGTCAGAACATGACTAATGCAACATCATTTGAATTGTTCAGGCAAAGCTCTGAGGTCAGAGTGTGCTCCTGTTCATCTCTCTTGAGAAGCATAGAGGGTTAACTGAATRTCAGTGTTATCTCAGCTATTTTGGTTATTTTAACAGAAAGTCGCTATCGGAGATGCATATCACAGAGTCTTTGCTTTCTGTGCTATTTTAAGTTATTTTCTTCCAAAGCATGCCAAACCCCAGCCTGTCCATGAGGGTATTTCCACCACAACTGTGTATTTTTAGTGTTTAACCCCTGCTTCCCCAAACACASTGCAATAGAAAAGTGAAAGACAGGAAGAGCACAGATTAAAATAGCAAACCAACATTGGGCTGGCAGCACTGATTGGAGGAGTTACTTTCTTATTTGTATCACATGTGAAACTAGCAAGCTTGCACTAGAGAGTCCAAGCCTTTGTCTTGGTAATACTCTGAGACAGCTGGTGCGGAGCAGAGGAGACTGCTTGTTTTAGAAGTAGTATGTTAATACTGCCAAAGTACTTGGGTTTTGGAATTGAAAACCCATCTCAGTTTTTCACTTTTGTCATGTTTCAGGATTGTGCTGTTTGAAAGTGACTGATGCCCCSTTAGTTTTCTACTTTGAATGTCACTAGATTTATTGATGCATGACAAGAAGAGATGAGAATGCTTTAAAGAAGCTGAGCATGAGCCGGTGTTGTGCCCTGGAAGTGGAGGCAGCTGACAGCACTCAGGGCTATTTTAATAAGACTGCAGCCAGTACCCAAGGAAATGATTATCTSAGGCCAGGTCTGCTTCAACAGGGTCCAGGACCAGGATTCACACACATGGCTGGGGCAGGCACAGCTACAACACAGGTTGGGCAGGCAGTGAAGGTCTCAGCTGGGGCTATAATGGGGTCCCTGGTGCCATGAGTAGAGAGCAGGGATGGATGAGAGGTCGATAAGGGCATTTAAAAGCTTGTTTCAGTGCTCTCAGAGCCCTGGTACAGCATGAGGATCATATGCTGAGGGAACTAGGCTTGTTCAGCCTGGAGAAGAGAAGAMTTTAATGGGACCTTCCAGTATTTTAGAGGAAGTTCTCAAGAAGACAGAGCCAGGCTCTTCACTTTGGTGATTGGTGACTGCATGAGGGACAACAAATATTAAATTGAAACAAGGTTCAAGATAGATGTAATGAAAATCTTTTCTGCAGMAAGGATAGTCAGATGTTGAAACAGGGTGCCCAGAGGARTTGTGCAATGTCTGTCWTCACAGGTTTTCAAGACCAAAGTRGATAAAGTCCTGTTGGGAGCTCATAGCTGGTAAGGTTGAGCAGGATAGAACCCCTCAGGCCTGCTRCAATGTGAATTCTCTGATCCTGGGATCGAGCAGTCATTTGGTCTGAGGAGGAAGGAGGTGTGTAAAATTATGGCAATACTTTTAAATGCCCCAGAGGAAGAAATTAAGGAAGGTTTTAGGGTGCTAATGGGTTGCAAAGATGCTAAGAGAAATTAAAAAGTTTTCCTCACTATGTTAGGAGCTTATGCTAGAAAGGTGTGCATGTGGGCAGGGGAACACTTTGTATTTGAAAACTTGCTTTTCTCTAGTGATTCTCAAATACAAAGTGCCTTTTTGGTGTAACATCGCTTTAAAATACCTTCTGGAATAGATCAAACCAAGTTCTTTCAAATTCATATATTGATGACAATAAAGCAYGAGCTGAGCTTGGGGAAAGGCAGTGTATGACCAGGGAATAGTTCTTATGTGAAGGTTGCCGTCTTTGACTCTCTAGAAAAACAGAACAAACATGTCAGGACCAGCACATCATTTCCCCATCTGTACTGTGGTTGTTTACAGACTTTAGAATTGAGTCAACCCTGGTAGGGCAATACCCAGAGAATGTGAGGGAATCAGAAGTAGGTATTGGTCTTTTCCTCCTTACAGGGYAGTGAAATTGTGGAAAAGTAGGTATGTGCTCAGGAAGTGTCATCTCTTTGCTTAGTGCAGTGCATGTTAGAATTGAATTTTGAGAAGTGCTCATTTTTACTTAGGTGTAACAAGATGCCTTTTTGGAGACTACAGGTATCACTAGTGCACTCTGCACTTGCTCTTCGTCTCTCCTGATCTCCTAAAACTGACTTCTAAAGGCTGTTTCTGCTGCTCCTTTTAGCCTCCCTCCGATGAAACATTGCTGAATGTCAGTGCTGTGTTTCCTGCAAAAAACCCATCAAATATGTCTTGTGTGTCACCTTCTGTCACCTGCAGTGACATGTTTTCAGTGGTGTGTTTGCCACAAGGCAGGACATTGTTGTCCAGTGAAAGATGCTGGATGCTTTCCTCCCTGCACAGGTGTGTCTGGGACAGTGATGTGTCTCTGGAGTCGTGTGTTACCACAGATAGACAGCRCTGCTTTCAAACCCTCCTCACCTTTCCCTTTCTTTTCTGATGATACTCCAAACACTTGCAATCATTGCTGTCAAAAAATAAACCTTGAGGGCTAGACTTTGTAGAATGAAGCATGATCCTTGGACAGAGCCCAGCTGCTTTTGACTTGTCTGCAAGCCCAGCCAAAAAGGAGGTGTCTGACTGTGCTTCACRTGGAAGAAAGGACAGTTGGGAAGTGTGGCTCCCCAGTAAGTAATGAGCTGTGTTTTGATGCCAGTGAGATGTATTAGGCTGTTAGACTGAYTGCCTGTTGAGGAGGTCATTGTTGAAAAACTTTTAAAATCAAGAGTGTAAAACAGACAGACATGTTGTAGGGATAGCTCCAGGCASATGAGGCAGACTAAATCATAAACGTATGCTCCAGTAAGCCTTTAAGTGGACAAAGGTATTAATTAAGCTTAGCATTTCTTTACAGTGATGTGAATATGATGTTGTAATATTATAACAATGAGGTAGTAACAAAAGTTTAAAAGATTTGAAGTTTGCATTGATATTTGTTTCAAAAGGTCTAACAGGAAAACTTATTAAAGTTTTTTATTTTGAAATCACTTTTCCCTTTTGCTGGCAGAGTTCTCCTTTCTAATGCAAACTCTGTCATGTTCTTCTGACGCCTGACTTTTCTGAAGGTGGAAGTGACTAATAGCTGGTGTTTATTTCCATGATCCCTGTTACAAGTGCGAAAGAGGAAATAAACTGCATTAACTAGTGAAAAGTTGATGATATTTTTGAGGCCGAGTCACTGTAAGTCCCTGGAATCAGCTGAACTGTCTGAACTGAGCTTTAGGTTCTMCTCTGATGCTGCTCAGAAGAGCTGCCCTCGCTCTGGGCAGTCCTCACGGGTTTACAAGTGCTTGGGCTGCTCTGTGTAAGATATGATGGAGAATATCCAACCTCCTGCAGGCACAGTGCCACAGGGACTGCATTATCCATGTGGGGCACATCGGGCAGCAGGTGGGGCTGGACTGGAGAAGGAGATCAGGGGGAACTGGGTGGGAAGGCAGGARTCCTGACAAGGCACTGGGCTAAGGGAGAGGAAGTCTGCAGCCCTCCCCGGGGAGGAAGGGCTGAAAAGGAAGGATGAGGTGGTGYGCTCAGCAGAGAGCTGGAATGTCACACCCTGTCAGCAGGTTTGAAGGAGACTTAGCTCAAGATTTTGAGACTCTGGGTAGGGAATAGGGATCAGTGCAAATCCTAGGGAGCAGAGGGCTCTGTGAACTTTCCTGTAGTTGGGGTCATTTAATTTCACTCTGAATGAAATTCAATTGACCTGAAGGATTGAGGGAGGCAAAGCTTGGAAGTTGAAGGAATCGTGGGTTTAGGCCACTGATGGGAAGAGCCCAAGAGACTTGTCTTGTGCAATTGGGTGGTCAATGCTCTCACCTCGAGTGCCTTATGGCAGCGTGCTGACAATCRTTTTTATGGTGATTGCAGCTGTACTCCAAGCTTGTGTTGAGCACAGGCAAGGAGACTTTCTGTTTTCATTTGCACATTTCTAAAGGCTAAATAATTCAAGAACGCTTTTGAAAGCATACTTTCCTTTCTGTTTCTCTACTTCTGTTTYTTACCCACAGCTCTGTGTACAGTTCAGTGTAAGGTGGTTCTGCCCAGGATGTTCATCCAGCTTTATTTTAAACAGTTCCTTGATTTTGTAAATATATAGTTATCCCAAAATTGGCTTTGCATACTGTTTTATTTTAAGGCTGTAACCATTTGTGGATGAAGGTTGTTACCTGACTTTGTTTGAAGAARGTGCAGCTGAAGTTGTGGAGGATTGAAAGCAATGTTCTGAGAATGTCTAGTATGTTGCTTCCTCTGGAGGACAGTCTGCACAGTATTGTTTATATGTATTTATATACATGTGGACAAAATACCATTAGGGGAATGGGATAATGGTTCTGGCAGTAGAAGAGACCTGTACTAACGTGCAGATGGGAGCATGTCTTCTTGTATAATAAAAACYTAAATGGCTGGCTTAAAAGCCTGTAAAGGAAACCTTCCAAGTATAAATAAAGTAATTTTCTTTTATACATCAGAGCATTTGGATCTCTCCAGTGCTGCTGTGCTGTCTCACAAAGTTTTGCCAAGTAACAGTGGCTCTGAGTGTTAGAAAAGCTCTGGCTGATCYCAAAGTGGAGATCCACTTTCCCAGCAGTGGAGAAAGCAGCAGGACTGGCAAAACTTTGCATTTATAGCACCTGGGACACTGTGGACAGCAGCAGAGGCATTTATAGGGGGGATATAAATAGCACAGACACCTAATGCTGAGCTATTTGGTGCCATCAAAGATGAAGAGGAAAGGGGAAGAACTGCAACTCTGGAAAAATTCCCAATATATTCCCTGCAYTCAGGATGGAAGGTCAGCTAAATCCTACACACTGAAACTTCTCCTGTTTCATGTGGGAAGACCCAGGACAGTATTTCAGGTGAATATGGTCATAGATTAGGATATGAAGACCATGGTAAAAGAATTGCTGGGACCAGTGATCCATAGAGGGATTTGACTATCTATAGAGGAAGAGGCTTCACTGAGAACAGGAGCTTTTTGGATGTGTGCTCTATTCTACTCATATAGAAGGCAAAGTGAAAAGGACTGTGAGGCAGAGAAGGGTTCTAGGGAGAACCAGGAGGAGGAAATGRGAACGAGCAGAGTTTGAAGTTCCCCAGCAATGTAAATTAATCTGAACAGTTCTCAGTTTTCTAAATTCCATGTTGTCTCACCATTTCCTGATGTATGGTCACCACAAAGTACCTCCAAAGATTTGCGGAAGAAACTGTGTCCTTTTCATTCTGTTTTTCTTAAAATAATTTCTTAAAACATCCTAAAGTAGTCAGTTTGCCCTGAAAAATCCACCGTCAGTTTCCTACTCTCCAGGGACACTCAAGCATTCTCTATTGCATCTTGATTTCTTTTATGAAAACAAAGTGTTCTGCTTGTGTTTCATCATAGCTTAGTTTTTACAGCTATTCAGTATCTTCAGCTTTTCTTATTCTGTTTTCCATGRGTTCCTCTTTGAAGAGCTGAGGAACAGAACAATTTGCTGTCTGTAGTTAATTTCTTCCTTGCTGTTTAAACTGCACAAAGGAAACAAAACTGGTCCAAGTCATTTAGATATGTTGCTGTTTTTTTCTGAACTGCTTTTTAAAGAGCTCTTTAAAGAGAAATGTTTCATTTAGAAATCTCCAGCTTTCTCCCTGCTTTTGCATATACTATTTAGTTCCTCTGTTTTTAAAACTTGAAAGTAATTTCTCAAAATCTTCTTGAGGTTCTTGTTTGTTTTGAAGGTCCTAAGGCACCCCCTCCTTTATTTTTAAGAGATAATGAGAGGTGGTGTTCATTGCTCCATGTTCTTCTTAAGTCTTTAAAAGATCACTACCAGACTGTTGCTGCTTGTATCACTAGACAGCCCAGGTGCTGTTCAAAGATCGGTAAATAGTTGGAGCCGTAGCTTTTAATTTTATTAATAAAATGCATTGATACTTCAATATCAAAAACTTGAAACTGTCAGTGACAGCCAAAGTAGGTACTTGCCTGGGGATGATGACATTAGTCCAAGGCATCCATTTACAAAAGCAAACAGACTTCGCTTGCCCTTGAGACATAGTTTGAGGAACTGAGAGACAAGTATGCTTTAGTTTAGAGGACAAAGTGTGGTGATGTACCCAACAGTTACCAGGAGAAAAGTGCCTACCAATCACTGAGCTTTCTAGAAGAGAAAAGATTAGTACTTTCTTCTAGGTTTTGTTTGYCCTTATGTTATAGGGCTTCTGCTTYGGAGGGCAGACCTGTCTCCTTACTYTSTTCTGCTGTAAACTGTGGWCTGAACAGGTTTGCCTGGCTGCTGAGTGCAGTTCCCTATTCTCATAGAAAACACAGTGAAAGATTCAGGTTTCTGAAGGATTTGCAGAGTGGCTGTTCCTTGCATCGCAGTTTTTTGCAAAAAACTTGTACCGACCCGAGCCCTGTAGTGCATCTTTGCGGGCATGAACTGAGCTCTTTGGTTGCATCTGCACATGAATTTTCATCTCACCAGTCCTGGCCTGTCAGAAGAGTCTTGTTTCTTTGAGTTTATTTTTAATGTTTCCCATGGCCAACAATAAGACCTCTTTAACAGTTTTCTTACCAGCATTTCATTTTCCTTTCTTAATTTTWCTGTGTAGAGCTGCTTTTGTCAAGCTGATCAGTGTACCTCTGACATGGCTACAATTGCAACCTGTTTTACAGGATTATGTGACTTGATGTGCTCCTCTCAGACCACTTCTGCCTTTGCTACAGTTCATAACAGGCTTACATCAGTGGTGAATAAATAATTTATAAATGTAGCTGACAGCATACTGTGTGTGACATTAGTTTGACTGACTAGCTGGCATCTACACAGTGGAACTGTGGGAAGCTTGGATTATTTAATTCTTGATGATTTTTTTCYGTATTATTTATCTATTTTATTATTTATTAATTATTGCTTAGCCACCCTTGACTTCAGTATGAGTAGTTCAGTGGACAAAATTGTTGTCACCTGTGTCACTGGGGAGGTGACAGCAGTTAGGTTGGGTGGATGCTTGCCATGGAGCCCAAACCAGTGATGAGTTCATGTGGTATTGGTTCACTTTGAGGAAGATGTGTAGGACTGGTATGTGTGATCTGTTGCAGTGTCCATGTGCTGGAGCAGGTGACGAACAGACTGTGTGAAATCAACAGCAATGTTTGCTTGATACAGTGAAGCAGYGAAGGGAAAACATTTAAAAATCAGCAACAATGGAATAATGGAAACATTTCCATCCACCAAGTTTAGTGAATAATCACCTTTTTTAAAAAATTTTATAATTAGTTTGTGCTTTTTTTGATATGCAGCAGCAATAATATTGATGGGCTTTTAAACACTGAAGATGGTACTCTTCCATGTCTCTCCTCCATGTKGTTGAAGGAAGTCCTACTCCCACTTTGGTCAGTTTGCTATTTTTGTAGCACCCTTCTAACATCAGGGTGGTGCTGTTACAGGTCTGAAAGCTCCATTATTAATTGGAGAAAGTGGCGTGGTTTATGTTGTGTGGTTTTGTGTGATTTTCTCCTCAGCAGTGCTTTGTTGTACTAGAAGCAAAGGTGACACCAGTTAGAAAGCAAGGCTACTGGAGGAGAGTTCATCAGGAAGGGTCTTGCTTAATTTCTGGTTTGGCTGCTGTAGACAGGTCTTTAGGGGTCAGCTGATTATGAGGKACCTAAGTGCCAAGGGGTAGAAGCACTGGATTTTTCTGACTAGTATTTCTGATTTAGTAGATACACAGCTTTTGCTTTTCCCTGTGATCTCTATCTTCCCTTTAGTTTCTGTAAGCCTGTTTTAATATGTTGTTTGATTATTTAAATTTGAGTCCAGATAAAATCAGTATATCATGCCCTGGAGACCAGACTTACTCCTTTTGTTCAGAAGCAGGTAGAATTTAATATACCTTTTCCTGTTTGATTTTTTTTCTTAAATCCCTCAATCTATCCTTTCTGTCCTCCTTAGCTAATTATGTTTTTGGTGGGAAATGGGTCCAAAAGGCAAAAATCTTCATTCTGTTCTTCTTCTTTCCAGGTTTGGTCTGCAACTTTTTCCTTGGTGTGCATCCAATTACCTCAAGTAAGTAAGATTTCTGTGAAGGATACTTGGAGTCATTCAGCTGTATCTTTATTACTGCTCTCATTGACATTAAGGGGAGATGAGCTGAGCTCTTATGAAGGCTTCTACTAATCTCTTGTTTTCTCCTCAGAGGAAGTCCAGGTTAGCATGGTTGTTGTTGGGGTTTTCTCCTAGTGCTGCCCTAAGAAAGAAATGTTACAGAGGGGGACAGTAATTCTCTTCATTAAATGCAAATATTCTTCTTCCTCTGTTTTCTTACCTGTCTGTGACATTTGTAGGGAAAGGAAGGAGGGAAGAATGAAACAAGGTTCCTACTGATGGCACTTATGTTAGTCCATCTGAGTTTTATCCTATTGTGTAAGGGTAGTTCTATAAACAGGCTTGGAAAAGCAGACTCCTCTTGGAGAAACCCAGAGCTACTCTGGGGCTAGGTGTCTTGGTACAGCTGCAGGCCCATTGCTTTGTATTTTTACATTCCCTGTATTCTTCAGGGATTTAGCCTTGGCTAGGAGTGAGTGGAAGATGTGGCACTGCCTGACTTTCATTAAGTTTCTGACACAATAGARGAAGCAACTTGTGCTCCTTTAGGGAAAGAAAGGTGATCCACCTTTCTCCTGAGTGCCATGTGTTCTGCCAAAGGCTGCAAGGAATGCAGTTTGATAAATCCAAGCAATGAGAGCAACAGAGAGATAATAATCCACTCTTGTACTTGGCTTGCCAAGAACAGTTTCATACTTCTGTGCTGCTGTGTAAAACTTGTCATGACAGCTGCAGGCAAAGAACATCCACTGCTGTACATTTTGGGACGAGTGATAAGAGATTATGGTCTGTGAAGGGAAAGAATCYCCTTGCAACTGGGAAAAGCTGAGAAATGTTAGGTGAGGCTAAGAAAAAGGAATGCTGGAGCTTTCAGCTTAATAATCCTTACAGGTGATGTCATGCAATGGCTCAGTTCTGGGGATGCAGTAAAGATGCATTGACTTAGGGATACTGTTGTAAAAGAGAGACTGTTGTAAAAGAGAGACTGTTGTAAAAGAGAGACTTGGGAAATATCCTGAGAGGGCTTTTCAGTGTCAAGGCAATAGTTCTGTTGTCTAACTGCGGTGGAAAGTTTCACTTGTAGGACCTGTGTGTTTCCAAGAGAAAAATCAGTAATGGGATGTTTTAACAGGAGATATTCAACAAACTTAAAATCTGTACATTTGTTATYGGACATGGCTGTGGTCAAACCCCAACCAGCAGCCCAGACYCACACAGCTGCTCACTCATTCCCCTCCAGTGGGGTTGGGGAGAGAACTGGAAGGGAAAAAGCTGGAAAACCCATGAGTTTAGATAATGAGGGCTTAGTAGGGAAAGCAAAAGCCGTGAGCACAAGCAAAGCAAGGAATTAATTCACTGCTTCCCATGGGCAGGCAGGTGCTCAGCCATCTCCAGGACAGGAGGATCCTGTCACACATAACAGTGACTTGGGAATGCAAACATCACCACTCCAAATGTCCCCCCTTTCTCCTTCCTCCYTCAACTGATACACAGAGCATGATGTTATATGGTAGGAAATATCCCTCTGGTCAGCTCTCCCAGCTGTGTCTCTTCCCAGTTTTCCGCGTACTCCCAGTTTTCTCACCATGGCAATACAAAAAGCAGAAAAGGCCTTGGCTCTGTGCAAACCCTGCTCACCACCAACTAAATCATCTCTGTTATCAACCCTGTGTCCAGCACAAATCCCAAACACAGCTCCATGCCAGCCACAGTGAAGGAAACTAACTCTACCTCAGAAACCAAAACCAGCACAGACATGAATATCTTCCCGATATTTCTGTTGCAAGACAAAGAATGAAAACACAGATGGGGGTGTTAGGCATTGACACAAGTAACATCTGTATTTGTAGCAGATGAGACGCAATGTTACAGTGTGGAAGATAAAGAACCTATGAAATTTCATGCTGTAGAATTTAAGATTGTTAYAAAGAGTCTTGGCTAGGTCATAAAATGTCTCTCCATAAGGCTGMTGTGCGTTTACATCTTGCAGTGATTTTTTTGATTACTTTTTGCATGTGTGCCATGCTGTGAATCACACAGAATGGTGGTTTGTTGATTACTGTGTCCTAGGAGAGCTGGGTGATGGAGTACACTAGGGAAAAGATGGTTGGGAAGATTGAAACAGTTGTTATCTGTTCCAGGAGTTTTCTCTCTGTTCATTCTTGTGCCACTTGAAATGATTGCTGCATTGTGAGCTCTTTCATCTTGTTTCCACACCTTTAAAATTTGATACTGCAGAAATTAATGTAACATCATCTATAATGTTTAAGCTGCCTCMTGTTATGAAAGTGAGAATTCCCGCAGCAGCCTTAACTCTGCCCCCAGAAGAGAAAGCAAATCAAGTGAGTGTCTGAAGTTACACTGCTGTGTAGCACTGGGCACTAGGATGTACAGTTTGGCAAATATTTACATTTCAGATCTGGTCCAAGTCCATGGCAGTAACAAAATAGCATGTGTTAATTATGCTAAATGATCATATTACACTGGTAAATGGGAATAGGCTTGATTCCCAGAATGCTGATCTGTGATTCACATCATCAAGGAGTACAAAAGAATCCACATCCCTTAGAGAGTGAAGATAAATAGCATATTTCAAACATCTTTTCTTGCATGCACGGTAATGTGCAATTTTCCCCCTTTCCATTATGTTTCTGAAATCTGTTTCACAGCAAATTGAAAAATTAGTCTCCCATCTCTAATGGAGGTTTAGAAATTACCTCACTTTCTTTACCTTTCTTATGARTGTTAGCTACTGGATTTCAGATACCCTCTTCTATAAATTGAACGATTTTCCTTTCAAAGTGGTCTGTTTCTGCAAAGAAGACAGGACTTGAAYGTGCTGAGCAGAATGGGAAACGTGCTCTCTGCTTTCTATGAAACATACTCATGCATATTGAAAAGCTTGCCAGACGTGAATTTCTAGAATCTGAAAAACAAGTTGTTGTTAAAATAAAGTGATTGAATGCCTTGCTAATGTGTGGTATTGAAATTGAGTGAAATGCTGCTACTCATCACTCAAAATTAAATACAGTGTATTACAAAAGCTGTTGTGAGAAACTGCTCAGTAGAGAGCTCAGACCCAGATTAAATAGTGAAGACAATCTTCAGTTATATCTTAAAATCCCCACATACTGTGGGGTTTTTTTTAAATGTCTCTGAAACACGCTTGTGTAATGAAATCAAAAAGGGTGTGTGAGACGCTTTGTGATGGTTTGTTTTTGGCAGGCAGCCATTCTGGATAAGATGGGCATTTTAACATGGGTTTAAATGTTTAAGGTGCTGTTGTATGGAACAAGTTGTCACTGTGCCTCAGCCATGTGGTGGCCTGTGAGGCCTTCTGGGGTGACCCTGGGTACCTCATTGGGGCAGGGCTGTGCTTTGTTYGTGTGCTTTGTTTTGGACTCTGCTCCCAACTTCTTCACACTGTGCCCAGCAGAGTGAAGCGCAGAGAAGGGGACCTGGGACCTGCTGAACAAATACAAGCTGTAAAGTTTAAACCAAAATGAGATCAGGCAAGCAAGGTGAGAAAGAGAAGTATGAGAAGAGGTTTCATTAGCTTGTATTGGCTGTCTTACAGTCACAGAAATAACTTGATGACCCGGTTGTGCCAAAGGCACATCTTTGTCAAATGTGTGAAACGTGCTCAGATGTTYCACAGTTGGGACAACACCTTGTTCATGTCTGATTTGAATGACTACTTGGCATCAGCCTCTGTTCTTTGTCATAAGAAGATCTTGTCCAATTAAATGGATAATGCTGGATCACATCTTCAGGAACGTTATTAAAAGTTCTGCTAATGTAGCCTGAAGAACAGAAAGTTGCTGTGGGCAATGGCCTTAGGGTTGGCATTTGGCCAGGTCAGGATAACTTAATTTTCAGAGTTTCTGTTTTAAACTGGATTCTGAGGCCCTGAGGCAGAAAGYAGATGATCCAGTCCTGTAAGTTACTAAGTAATATGATACAGCTAAACTTTAATGTGCCATAAAGCTAAATCTCCGTGTATGAGAGCACCCCACTGGCAAAAGATAAATTAGTTATGGGGAAAGGAAATTTACGTGTCCCAGAGATACTGTTGAGTTATTYGCTGGTTATTCTCAGGTTTCTCGAACCTGGAATATTTGTCCCCGTCATTAATTAATGTGTTTTATTAACAATCTGCTCCCTTGGAATATCAGATTTGTGGCACTTTCCCATGGGTGGATTTTTATTCAAGTTTTTTAGTATGGAGAAAGATTTTCACTTTATTATTTAGTGACACGTATAACCAAATCTCCCTATGAATGATAGGGTGAGACTGTCTCTTACTTGTCATGTGAGAGAAGGCGTGGAGGAATGTGATGGAGTGCAATTTTCTGCTGTTACTTAGCTTGCTGTCCCTRTTGCCTGTCACCAAACTCCCACGGAGCTGTGATCCTCAGCTGCCTTCCACAGAGCTGTTCTTGGGCATGGCAGCTCCTGAAAGCAACTGTGGGGTCCATATCCCTTGGCTGAGCTGGTTCCTGGAACCTGTTTTGTTGCATGCAATGTATTGCCTGCATCTCTGTGAAGAAATAAAAAGGCTTCATTTTCAATAGTGATGTGTACATGATCATGTGGTAGCCTATTGGGCAGCTGTGAACTAAATTAAATTTCTTAAAGCAGTAGTTTTCAATATTTCTAATTATAGAATTTTCTGAAGGGTCTCTGTGTACTCGGTTCAAATCCACTTTGATTTCTGATTTTTTGGCAGCTGTATTTGAATTGCTGAGCCAACAATTTATTTCTGCTTGGTATGTATCACACTTGTCCTGCTCAGCTTCAGACAGGCTGTGAATGGTTAGGTGTATTTGTCTTAAGGAACCAAGAAACTGAACTTACTAGACTACCAAAGCTTTGATTTTCTTCTTTTGCATGGAATTATTGCTCTTGTGATACCTGAACAGTTTCTTTCGGTGTAGGGAAGAAATCTGTAGGTTCCTGTG